TTTGCACCATCCCTTGTAGCTGCTCTCTACCTCCTCTAGCTCTCAGCTTTGTGCCTTCATCATGCACACCTTCTGTGCCTGTAGTATCTTCTCATTCTCTGCATGTCCCCTTTTTCTCCTCCATTAAATGTATTCTTAAATCACAGCTCTTTTTGGAAGCTATCATATCCCTCCCACCTTGCAGTTATGTCTGCTGTCTTTTAAGTACTGTATGCGCTGTATTCATGTAAACTGGTCTGTAATTTTCTCAAAGCAAAGACCTGTTCTTGCAAAAGTGTTGTGCACACTTAGATAATTCTGTAACTGCAATAGAAAAACAAATCCTTTGACTAATAGCAATAAATGACTTGCATATGTGTGTTCTTCCTGAAACCTTTCTTTGTTAAGAAAATAGAATCTAACATATTATACAGGATTACAGCGACACTATTTTAAAATATGCCATGCTATTGAAAACCCATATACTGCAATTAGCACTATATACCTGCAATTGCTACTGTATTTACAGAGTTAGGAAAAAAATCTTCATAACCTACAAACAGTCTCTTAGATAGAACTCAGTAAATATACTATTAAGTTATCTTGATGTCATTTGTTTTACTATGTTCTGGTCCTTTATGTAAATGTAAAACCAGCCTATTCTGTAACTCAGACACTATTTCTCCCATCTGTCCTCTCTATAAGCCCTAAGAGATGCCAGAGGAAGTAACACAAAGATTAGGTGGAACTGCCTGCTAGAGTTCAGACACTTCAAACACTGTACAGTTGAAGCAGAGTCAGTTACAAAGTTTGAATATGTTTTACAGTGAATCATTCAGCTACTTAGTAGAAGTTCCTTCCAACTGAGGTACATACTAGAATTTTGTAATGATAGACAGGCAAGATGGGCTGGATGTTAGCTGGAAACTGTTAACAGCATGAAACGGAATCATTATAAATATTGCTATGCAAAATGTTAGGTTTGCTGAATCCTATATTACGAGTAACCATCTCAATCCTGCCATGGATTCCACAAGAGACTTCCCCTGTGCTTGTATTCAATTTGCTGCAAGAACAGGGATAAACATATTTTTCCCCTATTTAAAACTATATAATTAGTTACCAACACAGTTTTTAATAGGAGCAATAGAATAAAATGGTGATAAACCATTTGTAGTATTGTATTGAAAATGCATTGTGGGTTGCCATATTTTAAAATTATTTTGTAACAGACTAATGATGTATTTTTGCAACATTCTAATGAATTAGAATATAACAGTTATGGCGGTCCTTTTCCCACACCTGCAGAGATACAATGACATAATTGCTTTATTTTAAAGGTAATTACAGGTATTGTATGCCTTTGACTAAGCCTAAAGGAAAGCGGATAATGCTGAAATATGTTAAAGCTGTCTCACTTCCAAACAAAATAAGAACTAGCTGAAAACATATTAAAAGGCCTCTAAGCAGTTTGATGAATTTTGAATGTGAATTTTATGTTGGTTCATAAATAAACATCATTGATAATAATTGCCTTATAACACCATAAATGAACTCTGTACTTGGAGAGACACCAAGTAAGACTTAGGTAAACTTATTAAAAAGTGAAATGTCAGTAAAGGGCTTGTTCAGGAGCTTGTGTTACTAATGAATTGCCAGTATGTCACTGTTTATTAAAAAAAGAATAGCACTTCCATTCTGTTACAGTACATGCACACTCTTGTTTCTCAAGGTTAAATGCATTGCACATCAGGGGTTTTATGTATTCCTCTATCCTCACTCCAGCTCCCACTCCCTATGCCTCTACTTCAGGAACTTTCTGTGACCTCTTCAAGCCTTCATGCCAGGAGCATTGAAAGTTACCCATGATACTCTCCGCTTGCTCCTTCCTCCTCAAGCCAGAGATTATCTATACTAGGATACTGCCTGTGCCAGATGCTGCATCTGTGGAGGACACAGAAGTGGAACACATGGCTTTCTACCCAGAAATCCCCTTTGCGTCAGGAACTTTCCCCAGGATTGAGGATCTGTTGCACTTAACTCCTTTTTCATCACTATTGTTAGACCCATTAGACAACAGCATACTGATCAAATCGTTCTGACCTCAGTCAGATCAAATAAGTAATTTGTGGATCTAGTTCCATGGCTGTTATTCAGGCAAACATCTTGCTTAAGTCAATGGTTAACACTAATTCTAAAACTGCAAGATAAAACCTATAATATTTCTGAAATAATTTATTCTTTTAACTCAGTCTTTATTCAGTGCTGCTTTTTGTTCACAGCTCTGTTACCATGCACCTCCTTAAAGGTGTTTTTTTTTTTTTTTCCTTTAAAGACATTATTTAAAATTAAAGTTGGATTTCTTGGGACAAACTAATCTCTTAAGCTTTTGCACACAACATGTATTTTCCTTGTAATGTATAGAATTGTACAGCTAAAGTTGAGAGCAGAAACAAGTCTACTAAATACTAATTGCTGGGACAGATCTTATCGTCCTTTTAAAAGCAGGGACCACATTTTTTTCCATTTAAATAATTTAAAGAATATTGGGAATAGTTCTAATATGGGATACTCATGCAATGAAACTGTATCCATATGACTTTTTTCAAAATCTGCCATAGTTCAATAAGTTTGCCAGAGAATTCTTGGTATACTAAGCAACTATACTGCCTAATTTAACATTTTTTTTTCCTTTTTTGTCAAGATCTTTATTACTTCTAAGTTCACCAGATGTTCTCCTTTTATTTTCCTTACAAACAATCAGTCAGGAGAACTAGGAGGGAAGGCTGTGGTTTGGTTTTCTGGAGTACATTTTTTAAGCAATGAATTCACTTAGCCATTTTAGAGTCAGCTACTTGTCATTCATTAATGAATCTACAACTGCTCTAGTAATTCTTTTTTGTCCCCATTGTATAGTTATAAAAGTCCTTTGTATGCCCCTTTGGCCAACATTAACTCATTTTGCTTTTTTTTCCCTGCTACCCTTTCTTCCCTTTCCCAGGGAACGGAAGTCCCACAGAGGATCTGAACCTGAACCTTTCTGTCTCAATTTCTAACAAAGTGCTGCAACCACCACTAGGCCACAGGTTAGGAATAATCTAGAAGAAAGAGTTCAGAAATATGGATACTACAGAGAGGTGGCCTTGTGTAATTGTTCCCAGCATTGCAGAAACTGCTCCAGTGCTGTTTAATATTAATTGGATAAATGTAAGATGCAGTGGATCAGCTTCAAGAGGTGGACTCTAGTTGATGTCTGACCTGGGATTTGGTGGTTAGATCTCTTTGTTGGGAAGCAGGAGATGCAGGTTCAAATCCCTCTCTGAATGAGGGAGGCCTAGTGGCCATTACTCAGTAAGGAAAATTAGACAACAAACAATTTTAAACAGCAAAAATTAGATGGCATTTTATTTTTACTAAATGGCTGACAAGTACTGGTATCAGTGGGACTGTCTACATGTGCACTTAATGTGCATTAAAGCATCACAAAAAATGTGCTCTTCAGCTAATGTGTAGGTACTAGGTTTAATGTGCATTACCTAAAGCACACTAATGAACATGTAGATGTGCCCAGCGTTTCTTAGGTAATATGCCAACCAAGTGATGCAAGGCCCATGTACATTATATATTCTTGCAGAAGATGGCTGGTGACTTAGGTTGCTCAGGGAGTTATGTGAAATCTGAACAGATAATATCAAAATCCTTAAAGGGAGTACTCAAACATTTTCACCCCTTGCATACTAGTCCAGAATTTAAGAATGTAACTATTTAATTATAATTTTTAGACTCTCCAGGGAAGGGCACTCACAAAGTGGCGCCTTTCACAAAAAGGGAAATCTTCACTTGAGAGCAACATGTGTCAAACAATTCTGTCCACAGCCAACTGTCTTTTATGGTGGCCACAAACCTCTCTCTCAGCTATTTTCATACCTTTACATTTTATCTTTCCACTCTCTTATCTCACATTTGTTTCCATTACAGCCCATTCTCTCTTTATTTGCCAGACTGGGAAAGAGAAAAGATTGTTCTTTTAGTACATTCTGACATGTAATGTCAAATGCTCTGCTTGTTGCAAGCAAACTGACATTGTTACAGTTGTCTCTGTGAATAATTACACCCCTCCCCTCCAATATGCCTACCTAAACATTGCAAAAATAGCCTGAGTCAGCCCAATGGAGGGAAGTGTTCATGGGTATCAGATCTTTTTCTTTTTTCTGTTCCATGTTGCTCTTTCCTGCCATGGCTTCTCTTATGCACCATGCAAATGTTAATATATGAATATTAAAAACACACTGCCCAAAGAGGGACAGCTTCACCTTGACAGACATGTAAAACTGATGAGTTTTGAAACCTTTTTGTACCACCCTTTATAGAAGCCAAATCTTGAACAAGTGCAAATTGCCATAGCTCTGTTGCCAGCAGCTATGCTGATATACATTAGCTGAGAATCTGATCTTATTGCTTTCCTGATGTATTCATTCTGCCTTGATCTGTACCAATACAAATCAGGAATAATGCCCTTGATATCAATTGAGTTTTACAGCAATGTAATGGAGAGCCCAGATTGCATCATGTCTACTATAAAGAAAAAGCATTCTTCTAAGCTAAGCTTCTACTGCTCATATCAAGAATGCAAATAGGCAGAATTCAGTCCACTATACGCTGCTGTTACTCATGAGTCTGTCATGCTCTTATTGGCAAAGATACCCAGCTTGATGGTTCAGAAACACCTTTTTGCCAGTTGTATATCATTTAAAAGGTGGGTGAATAATTTAAACAGCCATGAATGTGCATCATGCTACTACATAAGAGATGATCATTTAGATGCACACACTCCACAAAGTGATGGTGTGGTGTGCTGCAACGTAATCCAATAACATTTGGAGACAATTACCTCCAGTGTATAGCTATACAACAATATATTACAAATCTACATTCCAATGAGCTGGGTGAAGATAGGCTGAGTTTGTGACTAGTACTGACAAAAAGGGAAATGGTGTTGAAGAAAAATTAAAGAAACCCACCTTAAGAAGTTCATAATGTTGAATCCCATTCACTCCAATGTCAGGATCAATAGCAGAAGGGACAGAGTACCGGGAATTAATGGCTGGGGTTTTAGGGATGGAGATGTTAATAACGGTTGCGGGAAAGAGAGGAGCATTGTCATTGATATCCTCTATCAGGAATCTGATCTTGACCAATCTGAAGACTTCATCGGGCAGAACAGCTACCTCCACTTCATAAAAGCAGCGGTTCTCACTAAAGATTCCAGAGCACAGCTTCTCCCGGTCTATACGGTTAGCAGTAGTGAAAATCTCACCAGTGTTTTCCTCTACCCGCACTAATGGTACATCTCCAGTCTTATACACAAGCTTAAACTGAAGAGGAGATGAAAGAGGAACATCTGGGTCCAACGTCAAGTTGAGATCCTTGAGCAAATTGCCAATCAGGACATTTTCTGGCAGTTCTTCCCTCACTGTATAATTCTTCTCCTGAGCACCAGACTGATATACAATACAGGCAAATAAGACTGCCAAGAGGTAGGTTCCAGACAGCAAGTCCATTTCCAGAATGGCTAATGAGTATTCTTACAGAACACCAAGGGCAGCTGGAAAAGAGAGGAAAGGGAAAAAAATATTAAAAAGCCATACAACAGTACGCCAGTCAAATGCAACGAATGCAAAAGGAAATTTAGCCTTTCATGAGCCAAGTAATTGGAAAACTGCTGCAAAACTAGGTCAATCAAACTTTATATCTTACTCTGAACAATGTCATATCAACTAAATGGTAGTAAAGTGGATAATCTCTTACAGCTGCATTTTTGTACCCTCAAATTTTTAAGACTGGATCCACCAAAATTCAAGGGCCTCTTCAACAGACATTTGTAATCAACCTTCTGAAAACAAACCTTCCCCTCTAAAGCACGCCCTGCTCTGTTGGCACTCATTTATCTCCCACCTGCAAGTCTTTGATGTGCCCTCCTGGAGGAGCTCAGACATTCTCAAGTCCACCACAGTACATGGTATGCAAGCAGCCATTAGCTGCGCAGCACTTCCTGTTCTGCTTCTGAATCACTTCTGTCTATGGGCATCTGTGGACTCCTCTACACATTACACTTAAGGCATGATTAACTGGTTAATCAGTTAATCATGCCTTAAAGTTGTGACCCAGTTACACAGTGAACCAATTAAAGGTGTGTTAAAACAAGCAATAAGCTACAAAGTTATTCCACACTCAAAATGTATAGCTCTATAGCTTGTTCTAACCACACCATTAATTGAACTTGTGGCCAAGTGCTCCCCTGTGGCTGGGAGCCCCATCAATTGAGGGTTTGCAGCAGGTGGTGCATCCCAGCCACAAGGATGCACCACCTGCTGCAATCCCTGAAGTTGACAAGGCTCTCAGTGGCAGGAGGCATCCCCACACTCACCCCCCCCTCAAGTTTGCAGCAGGGAGAATGCTGCCCCCCACAAACCTCATAAGGTGCGGGGCTCGCAACAGGGGCAGCACCAGGAATGCTGCTGTTGCTGTGAGACTCATTGACTGCAGGGCTCACAGTAGGGGGCTGTGTCTTCAGCTGCAGGACTCACAGCAGAGGCAGTGGAGAAAACGCTGCCACCGCTGCAAGCCTCACAGTGGTGGCGGTGTTCTTCCTGCTGTGTGCCCTGCTGTTGATAAGTCTGGCAGCACTGGCAGCATTCCTGGTGCCATCCCCCCACCTGCAGCCAAGGTCATCATGATCTAGGGCTCCCCCTGGGCATTCAATAAGGAGTGATGGGACCTAATACATGATCCTACAATCGCACCTCCTGCCAAGCACATGTGGCATAAGAGGAGGCGCAATTGTGTGACTTGTGCATTATATCTCTTTGTGCTTTTATCTGCATGTGTAGAGCGGCCCACAAATCACAGGAGACTAAGTTTTGTCTCTGTAATCTGCCTCTAGTTTTTGTGCTAATAAAACTATATGACGGTTTTAAACACTAAGAAACACATGCTAGGAAAACTGCTCAAAAGAATGCCAAATAACTTAGAGAAAAATGAACAGAGACTCCAGCTAGTAACAAAATTTACAAATAGTTTTTAAATAAGAAGGGGCCTAGGTCCAAACACTCTGAGGTAAATAAAACTCTTCAGTAACACTGGATCACAATAACAAATCACAAGAGCGCTCGGTCTGCTTACCTGAGTGCTCATCTGCAATGGTTCTCATGTCAAAATGGAAACAATTTTAGGAGCAGTTGTTATAATCTGAACTATTTCATAACAACAAGGGCTAGGGACAAATATTCAAAAAAGCCTGAGCCTGAATTGATTCAATCTTTGCAGGTTAGTCTAACCTGACTAGGCTAAGCAAATAAAACCCTGGCTTGCATCTACCAATGCATCTCAGGCAAGACCCAGGATGTCATCCTTCCACTTTATTTGGCCTTGGTGAGGTTACAGCTGGAGTACTGTGTCCAGTTCTGGGCTCCACACTTTGGAAAGGACGTGAAGAAGCTTGAGAGAGTCCAGAGGAGAGCCACATGCATGATCAGAAGTCAAGAGAGCAGGCCATATGAGGAAAGGCTGAGAGGCATGGGAAAAGCATAGGCTCAGGGGGAACTTGGTGGCAGCCTATAAGTATATCAAGGGTGTGAATCAGAATCTGGGAGATCATCTGTTCACCAGGGCACCCCTAGGGAAGACAAGGTCTAACAGTCACAAACTGCTGGAAGATTGTTTTAGGTTGGACATAAGGAAAAACTTCTTTACTGTCCAAGTCTCCAGAGTCTGGAATAGACTGTCCCCAGAAGTGGTGCAGGCACCTACTCTGGACACGTTCAAGAAACATTTGGATGATTATCTCACCGGGGATATCTGACCCCAGCTGACTCCCTGCCCTTTGGGCAGTGAGTTGGACCTGATCATCTTGCATCATTCTCTTCCAGTCCTAATGTCTATGAAATCTATAACATTTATTAAATCAATTTGTAACTGCACAGACATCCCTTCTGGACTGAAAAAATGCCGGCACATGCCTGCAGTGGCTAAGGTTAGAAGGGGGGGGGGGGGCACTACAACAGCCCTCCTTCCCCTTGCAGTGTTGAGCTGAAGGAGGCATGGTCAGGCCCCAGCAGGACACTCTTGATAACAGAGCATTTATCAGCTCTGTTATCAGCATTTAGCACCCCATCAGAAAATAAAACCTCGCTCATTAGTTCAAGTTCTTCTTAAACAGCTGTTTTCCAAAAGAAGGAATGCAGGGACATTACTAGCTGACCAACTGATTAGCTCCAAAAAGCACTGTCCTATCTGCCTTACACAGACGCATCTCAGGATTAGTTAGCATACCACATGCTGGCTATGGTCCGTGCTGTGGGAGAGAGGAGGAAAGGATCCCTGCTTAAGTAGAGGAGGGGTCAGGGGGACATGGGAAAGCCAGCAGACCCTGCTGTGTCTACAAGTCTCTGCTAGAGCTCTAGCCAGGGAGCAGAGGGGAGGGTCCAGCCCTGCTTTGGACCAGAGAGCCCGGCCCGGCCCAGCCCAGGGGGCTTGCTGGGATGCTGGGGGAATCTGATTTAACTTAAACCAGCAAGGGGTCTGGGACACACATTTTGTAAACTGGTTTGACCCAAATCAGTTAACCAGGTTTATCTCAAACAGGTTTCAGCCATTTTCAAAGTGGTTTATGTGCACTGAATGTCTGTTCTGTTACAGATTTAAACCAGTTTCTAATCACTTAAACTGGCTTATGTGTAACGTCTGTCCCTAACCAAGGTGGGCTTTTAATAGGCTTAGTCCTGTAAATGCCTAGCGCTTTTCCACAATGTCTATCTATATTGGATACTGGCTGGTAACTTCAATGGGAATTGTTATTTCATTCTTCTTTGGTTAAGAAATGTTTAAGGGTTGATTTTACCCTCTGACAGGCTAACCTTCATGTATTTTTTGGAATTAGACATTATTAGACAAGTATTAGACATTTTTTGCTTGATTAAATTATTCTAAATCTGATCAGATTTGACTGCAAGTGAACTAGTACTGTTTCTTAACTGCTTTGATATGCACTAATAACTCATTTTATGGAACTGCTATTTGAACAGGATAAATATGAGTCTGCAAGAGAAGGGGGAGAACATTCCACATTCTTCAGCTCGTTTTCTGAATTCAGCCTATTCCAATTCAGATTCATGAAAACTCTACACTTGCTGAGAAAGAAAGGAGATAATTTATAGTTAAATATAAATTAATCTCTCCAAGAGAGTACTTTACAGGAAAAAGAAATAAGAAAATGCAGACAACTCTTCATGTGCAATAAAATGCAGCATTATAAAATTTAACTTCTCTTGGTTCAAAAGTCTAATCTTGACAGTTCCATATACCTGGGACAATTTTTTTCTAAATTCACGTTCTACTTTTTTTTTTTTTTCTTAATTCAACTTCTCCAGTTTATACCAGCCAGTGATTTACAAGGGATATGGACCATATGAACCCTATTTCATATATTTCCAATGTTTGTATTAAAAATTATCTTTCCTCCCTTGCTCTTCTGATTTTACTCTTTATTCAAGATGATTTAAAGATGTAAAGCATTTTAGGATTAAATTTATATGTAAAATGCAGCACAAAATAAGGACTTGGAGGGTACATCTACATGAGATATTTACTACAGAGTTGCCTAATTAGTTCCACAGTGAAGTCTCAGCATCCACCCATGCAGCCCTATTAGGCTGAAGTAAACTAATTAACTCTCCTGTAGATTGGTACTTGTAAACTTAAGTACAAGCCACAACACACATGTAAACACTGATGGGGCTAGCCAGGGCATGCGGGTGCTTCAATGCAGGGACTGCCTGCCAGCTAGTCCCACACTGAAGAACCCTTGTGCCCCAGGCAACCCCTCCACAGCACATTGAGCTGGAGGGAGCAGCCCTGGTCTGGAAGGCTGACCCCGCAGGTCTCCTACTAGCTGGGGCTACTCCTACCTAGCTCCATGTGCTGTGGTCCCAGGCACACACATAAATGCAGTGCCTGGGAGCAATAAACTCTGGTGCAAACTGCACTGGAGTTTATTCAGGCATGTTAATTTCACATGTAGATGCACCCAGCGATGCATACATTCTTTTACCCAAAACTATATCCTTATGTTATAACCTGAATGGGATTACCGGGTACTTTCTTTATGAGCAGCCTCAAACTGATCAACTGATGAAGCTGAAGTACGCACTTACCAAATCTTAATGTAAAAAATACTCCTCAGGTACAAACAACTGTGTGGAATATTAACAGCCTGAAATTGACTAACACTCCTAACTTTCAATATTTCTAATGTGTCGCGGCGCACCTCACTGCCCCGCTCCTAGAGAGGGGAAAACTGCCAGAGGAGAAGCTCTGGCAGTGCATAAGGAGTCCTAGTGGTGATTAGGAAGTACAGGTGTGGGTTGCCGGAGCAACTAATGAGAATCAGCTGCCTGTAGGAGGCAGGGCCTGGCCCTTATAAAGCCCAGGGCTGAAGCCAAGCTAGCAGTTTCCTGCTAGCAGCCAGAGGGGCAGGGGCAGGGGCAGGGGCAGGGGCAGGGGCAGGGGCAGGGGCAGGGGCAAGGATGTGAGTACCGCTTAAGCAGA